CTTGTATCTCAACAGAGTCCTCGTCGATTGAGACTCCGGTGAGGGCTGAGGCGTCTGGTCGACGTATTTCGGACATGATCACCAGGTACAGGTCAGCGGCATCCAGGTGCAGGCGACGGTAGTTGATGTGCAGGTTGAAGTGTACCACCAAGGAGTCGTTGGCACCCCTGTAACACCACAACCATCACTGGCACCAAGAGTAGTTTTGGCACCATAACAATTATCGTATACTGACTTCATACCCCCCCTTTTCCCTCTCACTCCATTTCCTTGCATGTTCATCCCCCCTCTACCCTCCCCTCCCCCCGTCTGTGAATCTGCTGACTCTTGCTGACAATATGACGTCTTCTCTTTTCTGACTTTTAAAATCACAAAGGAAATCTTTCAATTTTTTTCATACTGGTATAGACTGCCTGTTCTTGGTATCATCAGACTGAATTACTGGGGATTTAAAACCTATCAATTCAAGGAGGGGTTATAAAGGCTCTGTGTCACCTGTTCACCACCAGTCAAGAATTCATTAATCCCTGAGAGACGTATACCTCTGGATGTATATATTATGTAGTGTCTCCATCACTGGTGATTCTTGATCTTGTACGTGTCAGCAGTTATCAGGGAGTCACCAGTGACCTTAGGCGGTGACACCATTAATCTGGTGACACATTAATCTGGTGTCAAACGTTCCAACAGAATCACACCAGAGCTGTCAGCAGTAAGCTGACAACAGAGATAATCTAAAATAAGCTCTTGTCCAGGCTTACTACTAGCTTTACCCATTATTATACATTAATGGTTGCAATTAACACAGATGTTAAATTCATACAGATTTAACCTAGGCTAACGCCATAAAATAGAGCAGCGTCACTATCTCCCAGCTTGGTTTCTTATACATGATGATCCATAAATGTAGAACTATAACGAAAAACTGAAAAATGGCAATAATACTTTTATACACAGAATGTGTTCAGTGTCCGCCATTATTGTTGACACGTGAATATAGATGAGATACCCCCAGGGGATAACAATTTCTGCCTTACTACTTATAACAACTCACAAAATAGCAATAACACAATTACAAACAAACCACGTACCGGATGGGGGTTGAACCAACGGCGTTCAAACCCCACCCGATCCATGTTTACGTATAATATTACAGGTACGGTAAACTATTTCTTCAAGAGCATGGTTGCCACTTACCGGTCGAGGCCCAGCACCTCGGAGCGGATGAAGACGTTCTTGAAGACGGAGTTGCCGTAGATAGTGTCGAGGCGGGTAGCGTACTGCTGGGCGGTGGTGATGTATGAAGGGTTAGTGTGGTCAGACAGCTGCGACGTCCAGCGGTCGCCGCTCCGTACACGGAACATTCCACGGAACACCCGCTCATGTGGCAGCTCCAGCCCCAGGAACTGATCTGGAGGGAGGGGGAAGAGGAAATAAAATCAGCAGTTTACAGCTCGTGGTATATTAAATGAACAAGACGTGCAACAATTGGCTATTGCCGAAACGTTTCGCCTGCACAGCAAGCTACTTCACTCAAATATCACACTGGAGATGGTAGAAGTAATAGTTCTGAGGCTATCAATCCTTAGCCTTGATAAGTGGTCAATCTCCTCAAGCCTCGCCAAAAGTGATGCTTGTTTTATTACATCCAAGACATATCGACTGCATGAGGGTTATTAAGGGGCACGTAAGTTCCTCCATCTTCTAACAACATGTTCAAGGTGAAGTCCAAGATCTTTCCTTAATTCATGGTATAACCTAAATCTTTGAGGAGGCAGCAGCAGCCAAGGAAACAAGCGAGGCAGCAGCAGGGAGGGCAACAAGTGAGGCAGCAGCAGGGAAGGCAACAAGTGAGGCAGCAGCAGCAGCAGGCAAGGCAACAAGTGAGGCAGCAGCACCAGGCAAGGCAACAAGTGAGGCAGCATCAGCAGGCAAGGCAACAAGTGAGGCAGCAGCAGTAGACAAGGCAACAAGTGAGGCAGTAGCAGCAGGCAAGGCAACAAGTGAGGCAGCAGCAGCAGGGAAGGCAACAAGTGAGGCAGCAGCAGCAGGCAAGGCAACAAGTGAGGCAGCAGCAGCAGGCAAGGCAACAAGTGAGGCAGCAGCAGTAGACAAGGCAACAAGTGAGGCAGCAGCAGCAGGGAAGGCAACAAGTGAGGCAGCAGCAGTAGACAAGGCAACAAGTGAGGCAGTAGCAGCAGGCAAGGCAACAAGTGAGGCAGCAGCAGCAGGGAAGGCAACAAGTGAGGCAGCAGCAGCAGGCAAGGCAACAAGTGAGGCAGTAGCAGCAGGCAAGGCAACAAGTGAGGCAGCAGCAGCAGGGAAGGCAACAAGTGAGGCAGCAGCAGCAGGCAAGGCAACAAGTGAGGCAGCAGCAGCAGGCAAGGCAACAAGTGAGGCAGAAGCAGCAGCAGGGAAGGCAACAAGTGAGGCAGCAGCAGCAGACAAGGCAACAAGTGAGGCAGCAGCAGCAGACAAGGCAACAAGTGAGGCAGCAGCAGCAGGCAAGGCAACAAATGAGGCAGCAGCACCAGGCAAGGCAACAAATGAGGCAGCAGCACCAGGCAAGGCAACAAATGAAGCAGCAGCAGGCAAGGCAACAAGTGAGGTAGCAGCAGGCAAGGCAACAAGTGAGGCAGCAGCAGCAGGCAAGGCAACAAATGAGGCAGCAGCACCAGGCAAGGCAACAAATGAGGCAGCAGCACCAGGCAAGGCAACAAATGAGGCAGCAGCACCAGGCAAGGCAACAAATGAAGCAGCAGCAGGCAAGGCAACAAGTGAGGCAGCAGCAGCAGGGAAGGCAACAAGTGAGGCAGCAGCAGCAGGCAAGGCAACAAATGAAGCAGCAGCAGGCAAGGCAACAAGTGAGGCAGCAGCAGCAGGCAAGGCAACAAATGAGGCAGCAGCACCAGGCAAGGCAACAAATGAGGCAGCAGCACCAGGCAAGGCAACAAATGAAGCAGCAGCAGGCAAGGCAACAAGTGAGGCAGCAGCAGCAGGCAAGGCAACAAGTGAGGCAGCAGCAGCAGGGAAGGCAACAAGTGAGGCAGCAGCAGCAGACAAGGCAACAAGTGAGGCAGCAGCAGCAGGCAAGGCAACAAGTGAGGCAGCAGCAGCAGGGAAGGCAACAAGTGAGGCAGCAGCAGCAGGCAAGGCAACAAGTGAGGCAGCAGTAGCAGCAGGGAAGGCAACAAGTGAGGCAGCAGCAGCAGACAAGGCAACAAGTGAGGCAGCAGCAGCAGGCAAGGCAACAAGTGAGGCAGCAGCAGCAGGGAAGGCAACAAGTGAGGCAGCAGCAGCAGACAAGGCAACAAGTGAGGCAGCAGCAGCAGGCAAGGCAACAAATGAGGCAGCAGCACCAGGCAAGGCAACAAATGAGGCAGCAGCACCAGGCAAGGCAACAAATGAGGCAGCAGCAGGCAAGGCAACAAGTGAGGCAGCAGCAGCAGGGAAGGCAACAAGTGAGGCAGCAGCAGCAGGCAAGGCAACAAGTGAGGCAGCAGCAGCAGGCAAGGCAACAAGTGAGGCAGCAGCAGCAGGCAAGGCAACAAGTGAGGCAGCAGTAGCAGCAGGGAAGGCAACAAGTGAGGCAGCAGCAGCAGACAAGGCAACAAGTGAGGCAGCAGCAGCAGGCAAGGCAACAAATGAGGCAGCAGCACCAGGCAAGGCAACAAATGAGGCAGCAGCACCAGGCAAGGCAACAAATGAAGCAGCAGCAGCAGGCAAGGCAACAAGTGAGGCAGCAGTAGCAGCAGGGAAGGCAACAAGTGAGGCAGCAGCAGCAGACAAGGCAACAAGTGAGGCAGCAGCAGCAGGCAAGGCAACAAATGAGGCAGCAGCACCAGGCAAGGCAACAAATGAGGCAGCAGCACCAGGCAAGGCAACAAATGAAGCAGCAGCACCAGGCAAGGCAACAAATGAGGCAGCAGCACCAGGCAAGGCAACAAATGAGGCAGCAGCACCAGGCAAGGCAACAAATGAAGCAGCAGCAGGCAAGGCAACAAGTGAGGCAGCAGCAGCAGGGAAGGCAACAAGTGAGGCAGCAGCAGCAGGGAAGGCAACAAGTGAGGCAGCAGCAGCAGGCAAGGCAACAAGTGAGGTTGAGGAGGGCTGGATGAAGGCAGAGGAACTGGCAGCCACCATTAATCACCTGTTGATGTTGTCAGGGCTAACCATTCTCCATAGCCCTGGCCGGGGCTGCCAAGGAAACCCTCTCCTCATTAATATATCATTAGAGAATTTTTCATTTTAAAACTAAGACCATTAAGATTTTCGCTAAGAAAGACCGAGTGGCCACATTTCCAATCAATTCAGTTATATCTTGGCTCAGAATCTGAAGATTCTGCCCGAGGGGATGAGAGGTAACAGATCTGCTCTTGGTTCCTGGAAGACGCTGGAGCCGGGCCGGGGGACGGGGAGGGAAGTGCTGCGGGTCCTGGAGGACACGGTGGGTGCTGGTGGAGCGAGGCGGGTGCTCGAAGGGGCGGCAGTGCTGGAAGGGACACCGAGGCAGGTGCTGGAGATGCAAGGAGTACGGGCTACTCTGGAAACGTAATATAGTCTAAAGGGAGAGGAGGGAAGAGAAATGAACTGTTTATATCACAAACAGGACCTGGGGTTACCATGATGATAAACATATCGCCAGACTTCATATTCAAACTAAATAAGCCTTGCACTTGAATAATCAAATAAAAGGTACCACTTGCGGCTAGCAACTACACAGTATTAGATTTTGACCACCTTACTAAAAAATAGAAGCAGAAGCAAGTAGACAAACTCCACAAAGGAAACTCTGACGAATTTAGGAAATTCCTAAAAGGGAACATAGTAGTAATGAGGATAAAAATAAGGAAGGACAGACTCAGTGATGGTTAGAAAGTTCTACAAATATGATTAATACAGGTTGTTACTGGAGTGTAACTGAGCAAGTGTAAGGACATGGGAATAGAGGAAGAGAGGAGAGACAAGAAGAGGAATAAAGTATCGTGAAAGACAAGGACCTGGGAGTTAAAATCAGACCAAAACATATTCGCCCAGAGCTGAAAATACAATTTTCAACTTCGGTAGTATACGAGAATCTAACAAATTGCACAAAACCATTCAGAGATCTTTACACGACACATTTAAGGCCCATCATAAAATTTGCAACTCAAGTACGTCAAAAGATTTGCATCAAGACTCGCCTAAAAGCTGAGAGATACGAGCTGTGAGGGAAGACTAAAGGACCTGATCATGACGACACTGGAGGAGCGACAGGGAAGAAACATGACAAATAACAATCTAAGATACTGTGCTCATAATGAGAGGTTCAAGTACAAGGGAGCACACGTAGAATACACAAACAAATCACTGGACTATTAGGAAGAGTTTAAGTCTCAGGGAAGTAAGGAGGTTAAATGAGCTAGTTTAGGATTGTGGTATCAGCAAACACTAGACACAATTTCAGAGGAAGAAATAAGTCCATTGAGGCGAGAACCCTGTAAATGTCAGTGTGGCTGGAGAAGGTCAGGAGCTAAATCTCAGCCATGTAAACACAGCTGTGTGTATACACAGAGCGTTGGTGGATGTAGATGCAGGCCAATGCGGGCACCAGCAGTCAAGGCGACCAAATATCCGGCAGACAACTCCTGCAAACTTTGCAGTTGCTGCCCTGTTTCCCTTGTAGCAACCCCACAGAGAAGCACAAGTTGGTCCCTGAGTAACTTGGGGCGAGGACGCAGATGAGGCCAGGCTGAGGACACTGCTGAGGCCAGGCTGAGGACACTGCTGAGGCCAGGTTGAGGACACTGCTGAGGCCAAACTGAAGACACTGCTGAGCCAGGTAAAGAATGACACTGAAGAGCTGAAATATCCGAGTAAATAAGAGAGGCAACTGAGAAGACAAGAAGCTGAGGAAACTTAATAAACGAATCTACTGAAAGAATGGCGGACGCCGAAGAAAGTTAAGAGATAATTAAATGCAAGACAACGAATGAAAGAACGACAGAAAGGACGTGAAGTAAGCTGGACTTCAAAGCGAAGAGGTAGCCGACTTCAAATTGAGGAGAAGCGGGACGATTTACAGTGAGAGGAAGATATTCGCTTCAAGGTAACAAAACGTGTGTTCATTTGAAAGCGACGGGAGTATACTGATTTCAAAGTGGCAGGTACAAATTTCAAAGTAATTTAGAAAGCCGCCGGAATGTTTTAGATTTCTGCATAATAAAAATTTCAACACATGACCAGGAATACGCTAAAAAAAATAAACGAGATTCGGTCATTACGCGATACAAGACAGGTATCCCTGTATCCCGTAAGCCCATTCCTCCCATCTTCTACCTCAGTACATGCAAAAGGTAAGCATCACCACACGATAACCACCATACCATCACACGAAACCTATCACCCATGGGTCAACACCGGCATCAACGG